GAGAAAGATGAGGCTTTCTGCTCCTGTAAAGATTTACAGCCTCGGAAACCCTGTACAGGGTCGCTATGAGTCGGAACCGACTCGAAGGCACTTTACAACAACAACATATACAGTGGAGCCCTAAGGAGCTCTGATAGCATAGTAGTTACGAATCGGACTGTGAATCTCACTGTCAGCAGTTGAAACTATCAGCTGTACTGCGGAAGAATGAGGCTTTCTGTTCCTGTAATGATTTACAGCCTCGGAAACCCTTTGTCACACTAGGTTACAGCACTTTAACATACTGTGACGTTGTAGGATTAAGCAGTAGACTAACTGCAAGGTCGGTGGTTAAAAGCCACCAGCCACTCCTTGAGCATCCTATCCAGGGTCTTTAACACTTCCAACAAACACATCCATTCTAAATAAGCGGCTAGTAGTTAAGTATGCCTTCTGGCCAATGACTGAGCTCTTCAATGTTACCTCTTGTTGAATGCCGCTAAGACCTCAGTAGCTTCTAAAAAACCAACCATTTTACCCAGAGTATGCCAAACTGAACTCAACAACACCATCTGCATTTAACTGGGTGATTGTGGCTGTGTGCGTGGAGTTGCTTCCGACTCATAGCGACCCTGTTTCCGAGGCTGTAAATCTTTACGGAAGCAAAAAGCCTCATCTCTCTCCCGCGAAACAGCTGGTAGTTCCAAACTGCTTACCTTGAGGTTCGCAGCCCGATTCGTAACCACTACGCTACCAGAACTCCTTTGTAACTGGATAGAGAACGCGTAATTACCGGGCTCTCAACAGTATAACCCACTTCTAGGAACAGACTTGCTAATTAAAGGAGAGATACGGTGTTGGCCGAACGCGCACACTGGAAAAAAAAAAAAAGAGCCACCTTTTCTACGTTCACAGAACCGACCGCATGGCGTCCGCGGACACGTACCTTGATGAAGCCTATATCCTTCGCGTACTGACGGAAGCACTGGCGGCACATGTTGAGGCCATATTTCCGGATGAGACCGTGCCGGTTTGAGCAGACGCGGCTGCAAGAAAAAGTTAGCGTTACACAAATCGCAGCAATGTCCAATTCCAACTTGAAAGGCCACCACCCACATACCGGCCCCATCTTCCCGGCCCCATCTCAGGCGTGTAATGGCGGCGGTCCCGGCCCCGATTGTTTCATGCGCCGTTCACGGACGCCACTTCACTAGATCTCACGGTCCCTAGCGTCTCCCAAAGAAACCTTATCCCAAAATTACAACTGATTTCTCACCAAGAGCGGGAACCCTGGCCAAATTTTCGCGGGTGGCTCCAATACAGTTGCTGGTGACCCATCTTGCTTAGAGGAATGCACTAAGGCGAAAGGAACGAGACAAGGCACGCATGCGCTTTTCAAGTTTCTGGGATTTTGTTTACCCAGGATGCACTGCTAACAACGCATGTGCAGTGTGATACCGCTGCTTGGCCTGTGAATACAGCAGAATCTTGAAAGCGGTCTAGGCTTGAAGTGTTGGTGACGTCACAGCACCTCAGCTACTAAGGCTCGCCAAGCGCCCACAGCTTCCGCCGGGCGCGGTGGCGTGTGCCTGTAATCCCAGCTACTCGGGAGGCTGAGGCTGGAGGATCGCTTGAGTCCAGGAGTTCTGGGCTGTAGTGCGCTATGCCGATCGGGTGTCCGCACTAAGTTCGGCATCAATATGGTGACCTCCCGGGAGCGGGGGACCACCAGGTTGCCTAAGGAGGGGTGAACCGGCCCAGATCGGAAACGGAGCAGGTCAAAACTCCCGTGCTGATCAGTAGTGGGATCGCGCCTGTGAATAGCCACTGCACTCCAGCCTGGGCAATATAGCGAGACCCTGTCTCTTTTGAGTCTTTAACAAAATAAATTTTGAACCTTTGGCAACTAATTATTTAACAACCTTACAGTCTCTTTGTTGCTTGAACCCTCACACACTGTTTTAATTGAAATTTTACATTTGGAAAAAAAAGGGTTTTTTTTTTTAACTCAGTACTGACACCTACTGGAATAAACTTAGAAAATAACTTACAATCACCTGTAATAATTACAATGAACGGTAGGAGTTCATATCTTATTAAACGGAATACGTTTTCAAAGTTGCTTTTTTCTGTTTTTAATTGGTACACTCACTCCTCCAAGAAACACCGGGAGGAAGTGGGATAAGTGATACTAAATTCAGGGGATTGCGATCATTGAGATGAAACAAAGTGTGTGGTTTGTTGAATGTAAAACAGATGATCTGCTCTGTGAACCTTCATTCAATTCACAATAAAAATTAAAAGTTAAAAAAAAAGATACCTTTCCAAAAAATAATGTAAAGTTCTTTCACTCATTATGTTTGGATATTCGCATTTAGTTAACTAAATAGAGTGAGAAATAAATGTGCAATAGATGTTGCTACAACCAAATGATTTATGGACAAAAAAATGAAAACCAAATCTCTGATTAAACTCTGTTGAGAGAGTTTAAATTCCAAACAATTATTTATAATTTCCCTAGATGAATTTAGCTGTATTCAAATACATAGCTCAAAACTGTATTTTACATGGCTCGGGATTAAACACAATCGAAACTATACATGTGGCTGTGCCATCATCCAAGAAACTTTTACGCATAAAGTTGTACACTACAAATATAACACTGCTTGAAAGAATGTTATTTCAGGGTTCTGGTGAGGTCTTCCTTCCTTCCAATCACTGAAGTAGGTACGCATTGTGTTATACGAAAAAGGTAGGAAGTGAGTCAGAGGTTGAAAAACTGCATAGAACCTGATCCCTTCCCCCCAAAGTCTACATCTAGTAAGAAAAACAGAACTATCTCAGAGCTCTTCTTCCTTTCGGTTTCAACTTTTGTAATTCAATAACATATATAAAACTACCACACACACAAAAAAAAGTGCCAAACTCACTGCCATGGAGTCTGACTCACAACAACATTACAGTTTCCAATATGGAAACTTACTGCTACAGCATCCTCTAGCAGAGTAGCTGGTGGGTTGGAACCTTGTGGGTTCCAGTCACAGACCTTTTGGTTAGCAGCCAAGCGCTTAACCACTGTGCACCAGGATTCCTCACATACACCTAAGTAAGAATTTCTACTGTTATTGTTAAGAGACACGGAGTCAGTTCCAACTCATAGTGACCCTGTATAAGGTTTCCGATGAGCGGCTGGTGAGCTTGAACCACTAACCATGCCGTTCAAACGAACTTTGCAGTCCAGCGCATTAACCCACAGCGCCACACTGGATAAAATGATGGAAGAGAGAAATTAACTCAAATTTGAGGTACATTTGAAGGGCTTTTGAGGCAGGCCCTAAAGTATGGGGTTTCTATGGGCAGCACTGGTGAAAGGGAAGGCCTGGCAAAAGAAAGAGCTTGAGTCAGAAGAATGGAGTTGGAAAACGCTTGGAGAATCCTGTACAACTAATGTGGATGACATATTGATGGTCCAGTGATGAATAACAAAGGTTATTTTATTTAAAAGCCTGATTGTAGAGGGTTCAATATCAAGATTCTACAGTTTTCCTGGAATTGATATCAAAGTCACCGATGTGAAGTTTCCAAAATCCTCTGTCTGCTTCTAAAAAGCTAATCTAACACTTGACATCTGCCTTCTCAAGCTTTCCTGATTGGTCTCCATAATTTTTAAAAGATTAAAATGGTGCTGAGATCAATTCCACAAATACTTTCAACCCCAGTTTATGATCCCTTGGGCCTACAAAAAGAAGCTATTGAAAAAAAGAAGAAAGAATAAACAAGAAGGAATCAAACTACACTTGGACAATCTCAACTATTTTGAGGTTCAAGTAATTCTTATTGTTTATTCTCGTCCGATGATTTTACACCTTGATAGAAATAATGCAAACTTTCAGTTGAGAAGTCATGTTTCATTTCAGTTTTAAAGTAATGTTGTACCATCTATCCAACCAATGGGATTATCCATTTTGTGTTCAATAAGAAAGCTGAGAATACAGCTTTAAAAGCCCATTTAAATTCAAGGCTTATAAAGACCTTTTAGCTTAATTCTCTACTCTTATTACAATACTCTTTTGTATAGGACTTTTAAATGCTTCTCCTTTTTGAACACACTTTCCTCTGAATTTAATACTTACTGGGTTTACTTCTTCTTTTTTCCACTACGGTGAGATACAAAAAAAAGAAAAAGATATACCTTAATCTCCTTGCCTGTTGTAGTTGTTGTTAAATGTCATCCTTGTTATTAAGTACCATGGAGTCGGGTTCTGACTCATAGTGACCTTGCACAGGGTTTTCAAGGCTGCAAATCTTTACGGAAACAGAAAACCTTATCTTTCTCCCATGAAACAGCTGGTAGTTTCAAACTGCAGACCTTGAGGTTAGCAGCCCGATTTGTAATCACTATGCTGAATTGGTTCTAACTCATTGACTCTATAAAGGATTTCCAAGGAGTGGCCGGTGGTTTGAACCACTGACTTTGCAGTTAGCAGTCCAGTGCTTATTCTATAGATAACCTCTATTCATATTTCCTTTTTGAAAAAATAAAAGTAATACATTTATAAGATTAAAACATTCCAGCAATTCAGTGTAGGTCTTACTGTTTTTTAATTTTAAGTACATTAAAATGATCTACATGATAACATGGACTCCTGGTGTGGTGTTGTAGGATCAGCTCTGGACTGTTCAAACCATCAACTGCTCCTCTGAAATCTGACACAGGGTCGCTATGAGTTGGAATCAACTCAGCGGCACTTTACAACAACAACAGATTTTAAAATACTCCCATTTTCTTCCTCAACATATTCTTACAATCATAAACCCAAAATTTTGTCTTCTACAGATCTACATCTCTCTTGAGTTCGGGTTACCTTCAATTTCAGAATCTTTAGGAAAATAGTCATACTTACCTTGACTCTTACTGGAGAAAAGATCTAAGATATGTCTTTTGTGTGTTTTACTATTACAGTGATAATGTTCACTTAAGCTTCAACAGCCAATTCTTTCCACATGGTCAGAATTAGATATTTAATTATTTGATTGAGCCTTTAAAAAAAAGTCCAGTATTTAATAGTGCGTGCATCTGTATTGATTTTAGCAAATTTTAATACTTTATATAATTTGAAGTAAAACATAAATACCAAACCCGTTGTTGTCAACGTGATTCCTACTCATAAGCAACTCTATATTGCTGTTGTTCTATGCTGTCAAATTGTTCCCAACTTGTAACAATCCTGTAGAGGGTTTCTGAGGAACAGCTGGTGGGTTTGAACTGCTGACCTTGTAGTTCAAAGTCCAGTGCTGATTTTACAGCACCACACCAGGAGTCTATAGTAAAACTTTCCCATACTGTTTCAAAGGCTGTATTTATGAAAGCCTGCAGTCACATCTTTCTTCCAAAGACTAGTAGGTTACAACCACTGACCTTTGATTAGCAGCTGAGCACTAACTACCAGGACTCCGTAAAACATACATAAATAAAATATTTCAAAATAAGTGTTTTCCCTGGGGCTGATTCCTCAACTCCAAACCTCTGTTTCCCTACTTTTTATGTCCCTACCAAAAAATTCTCTCTCACTCATATTCCTTTTTCATTTTCACAAATAGAAGCTTATAGTTCTGTGTGTTTTTATAATGATCTCAGATCCCATAAAGTATAACTCACTGTCATGCTACAAAGTATATATGTATACATGTTGCCAGGTGTCATCAAGTCAATATCAACTCTTAGCATCCCTGAGCACAACAGATTGAAGCGCTGTCCAGTCCTGCACCATCCTCACAGTTCCGGTTAGGTCTGAGCCTATTGTTGTTACCATGGTGTCAATCCATCTCATTGACATTCTTCTTCCTCTTTCTCACTGACCCTTCTCTTTTGTTGGTGTTATTGTTGCTGTGTGATGTCAGGTGGGTTCAACTCATAGCAACCCTGGATAGGTTTTCTGAGAGCAACTGGTGGATTTTAACTGCCAACCTAACAACGTAATTAGTGGTCCTGAGCTCATCATACAGCATACTGGTCCTTCTGAAAACATGTCCAATTTACATGAGACAAAGTCTAGTCATCCTCACATCTAAGGACCATTCTAGTTGTACTTCTGTCAGGACAGATTTATTTGTTCTTCTTGAAGTCCACGGTACTTTCAGTATTCTTCTCCAACATCATAACTCAAATGCTTGGATCAATTCATCTAAGGTCTTTCTTATTCACTGTCCAAATTTCACATGCAAATTGCAAATCCCATAGTTCAGGTCTGGGGCACCATAATCCATAAACTGACATCTTTGCTCCTTAACACTTTAAAGAGATCTACTGCAGCAGACTTAACCTAAAGCTATATGTT